AAAATTCTCTAACTCTCATTCTCTCAACTATACTAATATAGGAGCTGAATTGGTGGGAAAATTAGTCCCAAACACCTCTTATATAATTAAACCGAATGGAGAAATATATTAGGGGTGATAAGTGATTTGGTGGTTTAATCCTCTCATGACACATAATACACCACATAGCTTAGTCATGAAAATTTGAGATTATTCATCTCTAATTGAACCCAAATAAGACACGTACATGCTTGAGGAATAAGAATTACTAGTACAACACCCGTGTATTACACGGGTGCTTGCTAATTTTTTTCTTAAAATTTAAAATCAATGAGAAAAAGTAGTTTAAAAATTTAAATACTTTTATAAGAACATATATATTATTATATATTTATTATGATAATTTTTATTTGTGCGACTTACTTGTGTTATATTATACTAATTTTTTTAACTTATAATATATAAATACATTAAATATAAATATATCAATTGAGAAATAATTTTATTTTTATAATGAATTTTAATAAGTATTATTATTTTTTATTATTATAAAGATAAATATAATTTATTTATTTTATATATACAATATGGATGTCAAATCGAAGATCATCAAAAGATGATTAATTTGATATATTATATATGTAAAACCGATAAGAAATACAAAAGTTATCAACTTTTAAAATACATTTATAATTCAATAACTTATTGAAGGAAGCAAATCAAAATTTAGGGATATATTAGTTACTTAGTCCTCACTATGTAAAATTACAAATAATTAAAGGGTTATATTAGTAAAAGTGATGTTAAAATACCTAAGTTAGCTAACTAATATTTATGGAATACCCGAACCTAGATTATTAATTATTAATATATCAATATTATTTGTCCAAACCTAATTACGAAGCATGATTTTTCGCCAAATAGGATTCCGAAGCACCAGAAGCAGCCACATAGGCTCAACGCATTCGAGAATTATATATAGGGAGGATTTCCCAACTCAAATTACTTACGGCTATTGGGCTTTTTATTTAGCGATATGGTACGGTTTTTAGCTTAACTAAGGTGATTAATTTATAATTAATCACTTTCTTTATGTTTAATCTTTAATTAAACATAATACTTAATTATCAAAATTATTCTGACGTAAACGGTACGTCGAAAATAATTTTCGGTAATTTCGACTGAAATGACTGAAAATAATTAATTCTGAAAATTAATACTCGAAATTATTATTATTTCGGAACTAAAAACATGACTGGATACTCCTGACTGAATAATTAATTCCGAACTCATTAATTAAGTAAATGAATCAGAATTAAATCTGGAAGCTTATTCGGTTACTGAAATAATTAAACCGAATAATTTATCGACTAATAGTCGAACTTGGAATATGACTAACTGATTGACCTGAACTTGAACATGAACATGATTATTTATGAACAAAGTCTAGCTTAAAACTAAAAGCTAGTATTTCCTTTATTAATAAAATACGGGGCGTTACAATCCACCCCCCTTAAAATATTTCCGTCCTCGGAAATATTAAAACTGGAATGTACAAGCTTAACTTAAAGCTTATACTTACTGATTACATGACTTGAGAATTCAGTACTTTAATACTGAATAATAGACTTAATCTGAACTGAAGATACATCAATTCACAACTAAGTGAATTTTTTTTTGATACTGCTTACTGAGAATAAATACTATTCGGAAATAAAGTGTTTTATGATAAGACATGATCTCAGAATGAAATTCTGGAGCGTATTGGTCATCATCTCCTGACTGCTGGCTGATCTCCAGTCTGAACGCTGGTTGTGAAGATTTCAGTCGCTGGTACACACGGAAGATTCTAGAGATACACATATGTACAAATGAGGATAACTAGTTGTATTGGTAATTACCTTTCATGAATGTCTGCTCGACAACGCGGCACATCGTTCGCGGCACATTGTAATGCGGCACACCTGCTCCTCATCAAGTGAGTGCAGCACGTCTGCATACAGCACCTGGCGAACATTGCACCTGCGTCGTTGACGTAATCTGATCGTATCTATACCTCAAGCTAGTAACCTCAATGTACTTTTTAATACTAACTCTATGTAATCTCCCAGTGTACTGTGATTCAAGCATGGCGTCTTGGGGTGGAAAACATTGGTTTGTCATCCTGGCACGATCTGTTGCTATCGATTGACCCTTCTTCGTCACGGCGTATGTCAACCTGTGGTACCTGCAACTGTTTACTCCCTCCGAGGTTAAACTTAACCTCAAGAAGAAGTTCATCATGAATGAATATCTCCCCCAATTTCTCATATTCTTCAGAATTTGAGACTCGAGGCGCTGACATACCGAAAATAATGAATAAGTCTTGTCTTATTAGACAGACTATTCTTGATCTTGACATGACTGGCCTAAATATTCTCATGACTGAATAACCATGACTTGACTCTTACATGACTGAATCATTTTTGCCTGAACGCTGAAAGCTATCCCGAGACAACTAAAATAGTCGCTTCGGAATTGAGAACGTGATATTTACAGACTTACTTGACTGGATAAGGTACGACTTCAAGTTTCCAGGTAAATTTGGACTAATGGTCTGTATATCAGACCGCCACATTTAACCCGGCTGAACAACTATTATACGTCGACCTTACATCATGAACATAAACTGTAAATCGTGAACATGAATTTATAACTCTGTACTATATAGGGCTGCTCCAGTATCAACTGGTCCCGCAAGTACAAAGTAATTAACTGATCTTGATCTCTGAAAATCATAATTTGAAATATCATGACTGATAAAATACCTGACATAACTGACTTGAAAGGTTGTTATTACATGAAATCATACTGCTCCGGTTTCAGCTTCAAGCCTCCATGGTATACCCGGCTGAATGGCTATTACTTCAAGCCTCCATGGTAACCTGAACTATTGACTCTTATACACTGGAAACCGTTACCTTAACACTGACTTGAGAATTATAACAACCTTTAACATGAAAATTTAGCCTTGAACATGATTTACTGATCTGACTTAGGAAATTTGAGTCTATTCCTCGAATTGAATCAAGGATTTTCTCCCTGAAGTCTACCAATTGATTGGCAAAATGGCAGTTTTTGATAGAAATATCTGAGAAACATGATTATTAAGATTTGTTTAGCACAAGTGCTTACAAATCTCCTGATAAGTTTCTAACTTGACTTGAATAAATCTAAGAATTAAATATAGAGTTCTCAAACTTAATCCCTTTCTAAGGTTCTGAATCCACCCGTCCACGATACGGGGATCTCCCTGCCTGGAGAATTTCTCAGCATGATAGTCGCAGAACTGTGCGACTACTGTGACCTGAGTAAGAGTCGGGTGATCGAGTTCCCTACGGGGCGACATCTGATCATTGAGAAAGTTCGAATTTATCGAACACGTGATGATATTCTGACTGATTTCTTAGGCACACAAATCTCTTGAAAAAGTGGCCGATACATACTGACATGAATCCTGAGGAACTCTAGAGTCATATCAAAAAGATACTAAATTCTAGAGTTATCTCTGAATATACTGAATTCTAAAGTCATATCTGAATATACTGAATTCTAGAGTTATATCTGAACTCTAAAGTCTGAATCTGATTCGAGCATCTTAACTAAGTCTGATTACTGATTTCTGAGCATAGACAAAGTAATATGTTTATAACTGAAAACTGAATCAGCACTTACCTGGAGTCGGCGAGGCGTGAGCGTGATGGTTCAGGTTTTTCTGAAAATTACTGACTGAAAAACTTTTTAGAGCCGCAGAAACGTGCTCTGATACCAATTGTAACACCCTGACTTTTTACTGAAATCAGAGCACACGTTTTTCACAAATTTTCTGAATAAATAAATAAAATATTTATTTTGCGAAAACTGATTCGGAGTGCTACCGTGAAAGACTTGACTTTTCTGAAAACCGTTAAATTTTAAACTGATAATAAAACAGTTGTAATATATTAACCGACTAACGTCAGATCAAAAACTGAGTTTAAGTATTGAAAGTTTTAGCGGAATAATAGCGTGGTCAAAACATATATATACATATCCACAAATATCCTGAACTGCCCGCCAACTCACTCATCGTCCCCGACCCTGCGACCTGAAAAACATGAAATGCGTGGGGGCGTGAGCACTTAAAACACTTGTGCTCCGCAGAAACTCATACTAATGTAAACATTGAAAATAATAACCATATCATGATCTTAGCATATATAACTGAACTGAAACTAAAACTGAAACTGATAT